ATATATATATATATATATATATATATATATAAAGTTTACACAAAAGAACATTTTCTTAATGACTTTATCTTCTTGTTATTGTATATAATAGTGTGAGAGAGTGGTGAAGGCTGCACAGAAGACCGTTAGAGTCAGCCTCCCCACCATCACAGACATCTAAACCTCCAGATGCAGGAAGAGGGCCACCTGCATCATGAAGGACTCCACTCACCCAGCACACACACTTTTTGCCCCGCTCCTCTCAGGCAGGAGGTTGAGGAGCATTAAGTGTAGAACCGCTAGATTGAGGAACAGCTTCTACCCTGAAGCTGCTAGACTCATGAATCTCTGACCAGAATCATCACTGTGAAAAAAAATCACTGTAATGTCACTTGATTGTTGATATGTGCTGCTGACTATCTCATGTTGCTGATCTATTTCATGTTAGTGTGTTCATTCGTACTCATCTCACGCAGACTCGTGTTCATGCTGCTGTTGTTCGGAGTATTGTTTTTGCACTACTAGTGCTTAGTGTATTCTTAGTGTATTTCTTACTTCATATCATAGATCTTATTACTGTTTTTCTTTACAATTTATACTTTTGTTGGATGTAACTGGGACCCTGTGTACACAATTTCGTTCCACCACATGTACCACATGAGGTGCACATGACAATAAGGAAACCTTGACCTTGACCTTGATATGGTATAAATAATATAAGGGTGAAGTGTTATTAGAGTTTGTTTATGTTGTGTGTTCAGCAGTGATGTCCTGCTGTGAGTGACAGCTCCCTCAGAGCATCTCCTGCTGACTCTTTCATGTTTCTACGAGTCAAGACAAGTCCTAGACTTGAACACAACTCCACCTCTTACATTGATTTATCTAAATATAAATCCTTGTGAACTACATTGCACATGAGAATGTATTCAAATAATAAAAGTCTGCATAGGTTTACTGTAAACCTAAACCGTTGTTGTAGGTAAAAGTTATATTTGAATTCTTGACTGAAAACTAGTGACTAAATAGAAGTGATCAACTGTATTAAGGTTCTGCTTTTTGGATTTGGTTCTTCTGAACAACACTGCACTTGTTGTTTTTGTCACAGTTTGGAGGATTTCAACCCAGGGCTCAAGTTAACTGAGGCGATCACAACCACAACGGACACTGATAAAAACAAGAACAGCTTTATTTTACAAAACAAAGCTGGAATTTGACATAAGTGAACAGAGTCTGCTGGAGAAAATGAAGTGAGAGTTGGTTTTCGTTTCCAAATAAGTAGTAAACAATGATTTCGAGAATCAGTTATTAACCCTGGTGTTTGGCTCGGTGGGACATATTTTCAATTTTTATTAAAGAAAAATGACACCACTGGGTATTTTTCCTAACTCACCTGCCCTGGTACATTTTCTGTGAGGAACACCTGAACACGTGTTTGAAGACTGCACACCTACCTACACCAACATATTTACATTGCACACAGGATGTTTAGGTCCTGTGGACCGTATTAAAGTGACGAGCCACAGAACTAGCCTTCAGAAGCTAGTAGGTGAAGAAAAATGGATGTAAAAAACCCGCAGAAATTCAACTGACTTCTCGTCCAATAAACGAGCCACCATGCATGGCTGCCTGTGTTATAAAGATGCAAACTGGGCCAACGTGAATGAGAAATTCTTACACAAGTCTTCTTTTGAGATTTTCATTCCAAATTCAATTCAGAGCATCATTCTGAAGCGTAATAATGAAGGTAGGTTTTTGAAGAACAATGGAGGGAGATAGACCAAACTCATGTACAGACCAACATGGGGTTCTTATCCTTGCTGGAGTTTTCAGGTCCAAAGGGGGATTCTGAAAATATGTGGGAAGCAGAAACTGACAGGGATCTTGTCAATTAATGTCTCTGAAAAACATCCACATAATTTCCAGGATTATATGATTTGATAA